ACAACAACATGCCTGCCTAAACAAGATGTAAACAAGGATGACACTAATAGACAGACTAACATATGAAGGGAAATCTCGGGGCCTCAAGCATTGACAAGGGATGGCAGGCAATTAAGGAATGCCGAGAGCATGAGGAATAATTTTCCCAGGGAGGAGCCTCCCTACCCCCATTGGTTATCTAGTACAAAATGGTGACCCCTGAAAACATAAACACACAAGTCACATTGTATAAATGTTTCCTGCCCTCTAGCATGTTTTCAAGCGTACTGATGAGCCTCAGTAAAGAGCCATTGTAGGAAAATGACAACAGTCACACTGGGGTGGACTCCCTGTTCTACCACACGGGTGTCCGTCTCAGCGTCTGCTGTCGAGTTTTTATTTATGTTAGAGTTGAGTTTATTGGGTTTTATCACTCAAGCCTGAAAACACCAACACAGTAATGGATTTTTATACCGAAAGCTTTTACTCTTAAATTTTAAAAGACTGATACTGGTTATCTTACCCATGAAAATGTGTTCGCCGTCTATTTAATGCGCTCTCTATTTTAAAATATGAATGTAGACAGAAACCGTTGACCTATAAGCTTGACATCTGATGATAACCAGTCTGGATGACTGGATCTGACAGTTCATTCTCTGTATCAACACTGATAATTAGGAGAAAATGATAAAATTTCATTCCCCTGGAACAGAAAATATAGACAAGTGGTATTGGTTAAAAAAATATGACATTTTATTGACAGCAAAACAATTTTTTTTTCTAAATTTACTGCCTTAAAGAAGTTAGAGATTTTGGAAATTTTACACAACCAAAAAAAAAAAAAATCAAGGTGGATTTTCAGGGCTTTGCTCCAAGAGGTTGTACTTCTCTACTTGTCCTGTGGCTGGGTCTTGCCCAGGGCTTTCTTTTGTAAGCGTGCAGCGTCCAACAAGCAGAGCTCCTACTTAGAATAAAAGTAAACAAATAAATGAATACCTTGTAGTTAATAATCAATGAAAAAGATATTCGTAGCTTCGATTTGTTAGGAAGGTGTAGCATTCCTCCTGTGTCTTATTCACAAACTGCGGAATGGAGACATTGCTCAGTGGATGGATTGCTCATCTTGTATGCACGAGCTTCTGAGTTCAGTCTTTGCACTGCAGAATCCAGGTGGGCTGCCGAGTCAGGGGATCGGAAGTGCAAGGTTACCCCTGGGTGCACATAAGCAAGCTTGAGGCCAGTTTTGTGGAACGCTGTCTCACGATAAACCTAACAATTAAAAAATTAAACTTAATTATAAAAATTGGATAGCGTGAAGGTACACATTTACAAAATGCCTTAGCAGGTAACAGAAATGTGCCTGAGCAGATGACTAATAAGATCACCCCTAGGTCACCAAGCTCTTTGAGTGCGTCCGCATAGTCTCCTGTGTATGCCTTTCCATTGATGTTTGAAAACCTTCGGAGACAGGAGGAAAATTTTGAATGTTTTGCTGTCGAGTTCTCTGACAAAGGGGAGAAGTGAAGTTTGCCGTTTAGAGCTATTTTTTTTTTTTTTTAATTTTGCAGGTTATGCCACAGTAGAATGTCAGACTCAGGCTCTCCTTAGAAATGTTCACTTCTGAGCCATGTTGAGCTTTCTAGATGACTTTCTGAGGATCGCACCTGAGTTGCGAAGTCAGACTATCTCCACTAATAGGAAAAGGCCTATGAACGGAGCCAATGTTCTAAGCACAGGTCCACTCAGCCCTTTTGTAGAGGATAGACACATTGTTGCTGGAAAGGGAAGAAGAAGGGAGAGTAGACACCTTGAACAGAGCATCGTCCATTTGGACTACAATAACAACTACCAGTGAACGGGGAGCTTGTATATAGCAGGATGTTAGTTCTCACCGTTCTGAGCCTAGGAAGTTCACGATGAAGATGGGTGCAGGTACTTGTTCATGTTCATAGGACCCATCTTCTTAGTGTAATCTTCTCACCATGACTTCCCATAGGGGAAGGGCAAGGCCTGTTGACTGAGGGCACTAATCCCATTCAGGAGGTGCAGAGTCATGAGACTGTCACCTCCCAAAGGGCCCTGCCCTTTAATACCATAACTTGGGAGGTCAACATTTGAACATGCTAGTTAGGAGGCTCACAAGCATTCAGAAGAAGCTGAGGAAAAAGGTTATTGAGGCCACTGTGAGAGTACCCTGGGTTATTTTGTGTTCTAGTTTTAATCTTACCAAGAGAACAACCCTCTGCTGGGCTAAGCAAGCAATAACCATGTTTGTTCCCTATGCAAGGGAAGGCTTGAGAGGGATGAAGAGATAATTCTACTCCGGGCTGGAGAGATGGAACACAGGGTCGCAGGCCAAGAACAGAGGGCATGGGAGCATCTGGAAGTTTATCCCGTAATCTGACTCTTGCTTCAGAGCCAGTGACCTGAAGTCAGTGTCCCTTTAGAAAGTCTACAAGTGAAATTCAAGAACACTTAGCTATGCAAAGCATTTCTATTTGTAAAAGCGAGTGTTTCCATACATGGTACTTAAATTTCCTTTAACTCGAGACCCTGCCTGAGGTCCATGAAGTGTCGAACCACTTTTAGATCTCACATAGCATTTTCTTCTCGTTGTAAGAAAAATTCTAAAAGTGCTTCCTTAAAAATCATGAATTCATAACTCACCAAGTGATTTGCATGCTCAGTGTTTGTCAGAGCTGCGCATGCATTTCCTCCGTAGCCTGGTGCTTAGAATGATGGGCGTTATGACGGATGAAGACAAACTTTATTTCCCTCTAGTGACTCAGATCTTTCGAAGGCTGAGTGTGCTCTCTCCAGAGAGCTGTTTTTTTCCTTGTGGTTGTTTCCTTGTTTGCACATGTGTAAGAAGGTTGAGGTGTGAAAAGGAAGGCTAATTCATTGTATAGATGTTACTTCTAAGTAATGTCTGTGGCCATATTTGCCAAGGTGGGAGGAGTCGGTTCACCCCCCCAGAAGGTATCTGTCTGTGCTGCTTCCTTACTCGGCCCCTTACCTCACTGACAGCAATCTGTTTTATTATTCATTCCAGAAACAGCCTAGAAAATGCTCTTGAAATTATGATACTATATTACAAAAGTGATAAGTCATGTCATTGGGTAAACAGAGTGACCTTGTCAGAGTCACAGTGACTCAGTGGGTGGGCCAGGAGTTTATGACCCTACCCTCTGTAAGGACAACTGGGCTCAGGTGTCCTGAGGTGTTATACGTTACTCCTGCTCACTTTAGCTTCTACATTATAGCACTGAAAGACTGTGTTCTCTGAAGAATATTACTCTAAAAATCCCACTGCCAAGATAGTGGTGAATACCTATAAATGATTTCTTGATAGGCTAGGTCAGAATTATGTTGTTATTAAGTAAAGCCTCACCTATTAGTTCTTCTATGCATTGCTGGGGAGCCAGCTGTAATAGCTACGCAGAAATGCCACAACTATAGAAGCATTCAGTCAGGAGGGAAAAACTAGAGAGATTAATTTACAACTGCCATTTGTTAGTAATCTGCCTAATCGTTTTTTCCATCCCCTCTTGGCGATTGAGGAAAAACAATGTGGAGAGAGAAGGGAAAAGGTTTTTTAAACGACTTGCGACGTACAATTCAGGAAATGAGCACTCATGGACACACAGTTGAGGGGATAACATAAAGCTGGGGGGGCTGGGACTGGAGTACAGCTTGGTGGTAACATACTGGCTTAGCCCACATGAGGCCCCAAATTCCATTCTCAGCCATGCATCCTCAAAGCCAAGGAGATGGCTGTTATTATCTGTGGTTAAGTTGTCCAAAGACCTTTGTGTGAATAAACTGCAAAAACAGAAAAGCAACTTTTGTTTGCCAGGCTAAATCTTCCTAAGCCAATGTTTTGTAATTTTGAATGTTGCCGAACAACATTCTGAAGGCTATTAGATGGAGATGCTTTTGTCTCCTTTTCCTATTCCGAGCATACACAAATGTATATAGAGATCTCTGGAATGAGGAAGGAGTGACATTCCACAGGACACCCTCCCACACCCACAACCAGTGCCCGTTGTAGAGGAGAGACCAGTGAGTTAGATGATTTATTTCCTCCTCTTGTTTTGCTTTCCTGTCGGACCTCCTTACAGAATAAAGAATTGCTTATTTGGGTGATGAATTGTTAAACAACAACAACAACAAAATAAATCCACTATTTCACGACACTGCTTTGTGACAGTGATTAATGATTAATTACCCACACTCACATTAATGGGAATACACTGTGATATTAAGTTACTATGTGGTCGGACTCTACCAGCGAAGAGAATGAATGAATCCATGCCAACCGCGATTTAGCGGCAGAAGAGCCCTTTAGTGCGGGGGTCAAAGATGAGTTGCTTTCCTTGGGCTTTGGTGTGTAGAGGCGCAGATATCTTTGCCATATGTGTCATATTAACCGGAAGGCACTCAGTATCAGATCCCAGGGTGTTTGGAGGAGTTCTGGTACATTTAATTTTCACCCAGTCATTCTGCTCTGGTAATCAGTCATGGGCGTGAACGTGTTACCAGTAAGAAATAGTCAATTACTTGGATGAGTTCCTCTATACCCTTTACACGTGAAAAAATGTGGGTAGAAACAAGGAACCAGATGAGAAAACAAAAAACATCCCATTGAGAATTATTATAGGGAAAAGTGTTCTTAGGGCCAAGTGAAGGGAATTCTGATGGTGCTCTCACTGCGTGATGAACCAGAACCAGATTGAGCCTTTCTTTATTGCACGTGAAACTATTTTTAAAGACACGGGCGTTGGATATAGAGGTTTGATTCCGGGACCCTTCCACCTTTTTGTTCAGAGTTCTTCGTTTTGAGTTTAAAAGCTGAATTTAGTTGTTTATCTTTTGTCTTCTGATGGGCCGCTGGCTCAGAACAGCCACATAGTTCTGGGATCGGAATTATCTACTCAAAATTTTTGTGACGATTTCAATGAACACTGAAATCACCTTGGCGCTTTTGTAACTGCATATGTTATTTGTTTATTTACTTTCAGTTTGGTTAATAAGCTCAGACCCGGCATCATTAAGAAGATCAATAGACTGTCTACACCAATAGCAGGTTTGGTAAGTAATAAATTACCTTCAAAACTAGGTTTCTTCCGCTTCATTTTATTTTTAACCAACAAATAATGATTGCGCATATCTTCGTGTGCCATGTTATGTCCCTCTGATACTGTCACACAATATAATGTGTTATATATTTCAAAATGCTTAGAAGGGAGGACTTTGAATGTTCTCACTTTAAAACTATTTTTGTCTTTGAAATACAAGAAAGTGGTCACAGTAGTTCCCTTCATCTGTAATGACTGTCACTTTACAAGAGTGACAGCCTCCTTTTGTCTTTCAGTACTTCCTTTCTGTCCAGAGGCTTTTGTTTTAATTTTTGTTTGGATTATGATCCTTCAAAGTCTGGCTATCCCTTTTCTGGCTGTCTTTCTTCCACAGGTTGCATGCGAGTTGCTCCCGTTCTCCCTACAGCTCTACCGTGCATGCGCTGTTCTCTCGGCCACAGCAGCTCCCCAGAGTGTCAGGTTTTCCCTGGTTGATGTGTTTCTGCTGCTGCAGGCCCATGCATTATGCTCACTTAGGTCATAAGAATATCTGCAGAGCAATCAAGTCCCGTCAGCCCTCTTATGGTGCTTCATGTTTCCTGTTGATGGACGTGTCCCTGCCTTCTTCTGCGTCAGGGTTACATTGTTTCTAAAGAAGCACCAGCGATTCCCAGATGCCCCCCACCTTCATTATGACCCTCATTGTAACGGTGCTGGAAATAGAAGCAAGGGCTGTAAGTCTTCTAACCAAATACTGTATCACAGGTTTATTCACAGCCCTCCTGTCTTCAAATGGAAGATTTCTTTTAAGTATTAAGAAATACTACACATTCTCGCCACGAGGTTGTTTAGATTTTTAATACACTGTGGACACCAATGATAACATGAATCAATGCCTTTGGAAAAATGTATAATGAAACAAAATTGATGAAGAACTTTCCAGAAGATTTAATAAGCCTTACCAATCAATACTGGTGGGATGGTGAGATGGTCCAGCAGTTAAGGGCACAGGGTAAGGGTTAAAGGTTCTCAGTTCAGCTCCCAGTGCCCATGTCAGGTGGCTCACAATCACCTGTAGCTCCAGCTCCAAGGGATCTGACACCTTCATCTGAACCCAACGGGCGCTTGTACTCTTGTACATATACCCCTGCCACATAATTAAATTACAAGTCATAAAAGTTAATCTTTAAATAAAATTACTATACTGGTGACAGAAGTCAGTTAAAAAGATCTCAGAAAGCCCTGCATAATTAACAATTGGAATCTAAACCAAACTGATTATCTATGGATTATTCAATGCTCTTCTAATAATCTATTTGCAAGACTTCATTCTGGCTTTCCATGAGTTTATGACTGTGACGAATGACCAGGGGAGCCACAGACAGTCATGCCCCAGCTCCTGGGTTTGCAGAAGCATCAGAATCTCATCAGAACCTGACAGGACTGAGTTTGGCCAAGGATTTATTATTGGAAAATAACTGTCTGGGAGAAAGAATGAAGTGTTGAGGTTTCTTTTAAATTTAGAAGGCATATAAAGTTCTTAGCGCCACTGGTTCCAGTACTGACTCCTTCTAATCAAACTGTATGTATTCTAGACCTGTCATGAATAGGTAACTGACCTGTAGTTTGTACTGATCTTAAATTCGGGTAAGTAAAATGCCTATTACACACACACACACACACACACACACATGACACACACGACATACATGACACACACACACACACGACATACATGATACACACACACACACGACACAAATTATTTCCCATTATTCAAAAAATAACCTTAAAGGAATGTGTCCCTGAAGTCTTTCCAGGAGGAAACATTCAGTCTTATAAAATAAATAAGCTTTATATGAAAATGACTTTTTAAACACCCTGTGCAAAAATAAATGTTTGAATTGTATTGAGTTACACTATCTTTTCCAGTGGCCCGAGTTATTCTTAGATAGTTTAATTTTTTGATTTTTGAACATTCATTTCTTGGATCAGTTACCTGCATTTTAAATGGAATTAGTCTTTGATCTCAAATATGCCGCCGAGAATCTGGAATGCTTGAATTGTGCAGTTTGTTGCTGTTGGCTACTGTTGGCTTTATTCAACTTTACGATTATATGATTAGATGCAAGCACAAATGTATTTTATTTTTAAGCCCCAAACCCTCTCCAAGCATTTCTATTTCAAGCATCAGAAATTCTCTCCAGTTTGAATTTTATCTTTAGAAGCTAAAATGAAATGCATTTCCGGTATATTAAATAGAATGCTTTTCTAAGCACAGTGCAGTGAGCATTTCCATGGGATATGGGTGTGTAAGAAAGACTTCAGCTGCAGAATGGGCTAAGCCCAATTGGTTTGAAGTGAGCATCATGCCCCATTTGCCTGCTGATGTTTGTCACAACGGCTCTAAGGAAATTTGTGATTCCAGTATCCACCTGGAGAGGGGTTGGTATGAGAATTGTGGGCTAATGAGGAGTTTGATGTTTAAGTCTTCAATGCCTGCATGTTCTTTCTTTTAACAAACAATTGAGTACCTGTTAGGTTGCGGAGTTTTCTAGTACACCGAGTGTTGTAGGAGAAGACAAAGGAGTGTGGACTTTGACTTCAATTTCAGGGAGGCAGAGCCACACAAATCAATTAGCAAATGGGCAAGAAGGTACCACAAAGTGTATGTGTTAAAGAGGACAACATTGGACTGATATCCCAAAAGGTTGAGTTCTGATAGTTTCCTAAGGAGTAGAGAAAAAGCTGGGATTTTGGCATTTGTGCAAGAATACTGAACAATCTAGGGTAGACTTTTCATAATGCTAACATTCATGTTCACAGCACCCAACACAGACACTAATGCACACAAGAGATAAAAGAGCTTGTTAAACAAGGGATGACCATGTTTCCATTGTGTTGGAGGAGAGGCGACTTGTTTGTCCAGAACCGAAATAATCACATAGAAACTGTACTAATTAAATCACTGCTTGGCCCATTAGCTCTAGCTTCTTATTGGCTAACTCTTACATCTTAATTTAACCCATTTCTATTAATCTGTATATCACCACGAGGTCGTGGCCTACCAGCAAAGTTTCAGCACATCTGTCTCCAATGGTGGATCTATGGCGTCCCCTGACTCTACCCTTCTTTCTCTCAGCATTCAGTCCAGTCCTTCCTGCCTACCTAAGTTCTGCCCTATCAACAGGCCAAGGCAGTTTCTTCACTCATCAGTGGTAATCATAGCACACAGAGGGGACTCCCACATCACCACTGTAGAATTTAACAGGTTCTAGATCTTAGTCATTGGTGGACTAGGCCTATAGGTTGAAGGGTCAATCTTCCTTTTCCAAAGACTTATGGGAATTCTAAGTTCTAATACGTCAGAAGGTAACCTATTTAGGTGTATGATTTTTACAGATGTGGTTGGTTCAGGAGAGATCATCCTGGGATAGGGTGGATCACTAATCTAGGAGGGGTAGTATTCCTAAAAGATGATTATGAGAAGACATGCATAGAAGTAGACCACCATATGGGGATGAGGTTGAGCTGATGTAGCTATAATCCACAGAACAAAGATCGCTAATGAACTTTCCAAGTCCAGGAAAATTCCCATAGATGTCACAGGAAGCGTGACTTTACTAACACACTGATCTTGGACTCCTGCCCCCAAACTGTGAGACAATAAATACATACATCTTTCTTGGTTTAAGCCATGAGTAGTTCTCATTTTGCTGTGGGAACCAGGGAACTCACACACATAGGTAAACGATGCTTAATAAGTGCTTTTTGCCACCACTATACTTTGAAATAAATGTAGGTTTACAGAAGGTACAAAGAGGCTGTCTGTATTATCCTCCTAATTCCCCTCAGTGAGCGTCTTTACATACAATGTCCAGATCAGGAAACTCAGGTCGATATAGTCCAAAAGTCTTCTTAATCAAATTTTGCCTGTTTTATATGTGTGTGTATGTGTGTGCTCGTGTGCATGCTTGAGAGAGAGAGAGAGACTCTATGCTTCTGTCCATCACTTCTCTCACACAGAGACAGAGAGAGAGGCAGGAGAGAGAGAGACACAGAGGGAAATAAAGAGACAGGAGAGAGAGACAGACAGATACAGAGGCAGACAGAGACAGAAACAGGAAGAGACAGAGAGACACACAGAGGTCATCATCAGGTGTCTTCCTTAGAAGCTCTTCACTTCACCAACTTTCCGTAGGATGCCTTTCTCAGTAGTGAAGCTTTCAAGCCAAGTCAGGTGAAGATAGTTTATTTTGATGCTCTATCAGCTGCCTCTTGAGGTGAGCCAGTGTACAACCATAAACATGCTAGCTCAGCTTACTTCTTCATCCCTGTGCTGTTCCCAGCACAATCTTTCTTTGGCATCTCTTATCTGAGATTCAAAAGAGGATTCTGAATGTACTAGGCCCCTTTTCTCTTTCTGCTTATCAGCAAGCCCGAGAACGAGTTTCTTGGAGAAGGTAGTTGTTTGGGTAAATGGGATTGCCCATGAGCATTGGCTTCCTTTGAATCATTCAGCAGAGCCTGGAAGGTTAAAGTGGGTGGGTGCTTGAGTGAGGGTAGATGCATCAAAGATGTTGAATCCTGAAAGAACTTCTGCATGGAAACATGATCTGAGTGGTTAGGGTGCTTCACGGGCTTTCCTCCATGGCTCCTTCCTAAAGATTTTTAGTTATGTGAGTTGTGCATTGTGTTTTAAAAACAAAAGCAAAGGCTTGAGAAAATTATAGAGTATGTTCTGAGATATGGTACGTGGCTAGAGAGATTTATATTACATGGATTTCTTGAAACATTGATGTAATTGTTTTCTCTAGAATGTCAGAGAATGTGTTCTCTTGTATGTTCTAGTGATAAGGCTTCTCTCTCTCTCTCTTTCTCCCTCTCTCCCTCTCTCTTTCTATCTCTCTGTGTGTGTGTGTGTGTGTGTGTGTGTGTTCTATGGTTTTATGTGTACTTCAGAGGACAATTTGTACTAGTTAGTTCTCTTCTACTATGTAGGTCTCAGAGATC